ATATATATATATATATATATATATATATATATATATATATATATTTAGTGCTTATAAAACTAAAGATGACATTTTATACCTCATAAAGCTCTAAAGATGAAGTGTATAAAGAAATGAGAAGCAACTCATTGCACCAGTTGGGGTTAACTAACTTGTCAGCTGAATGATAATTGCCCATGCAGTAATTTTCCAATAGGAGGTTCGTACTTATTTGCTTGGTTAAATACAGGTGGTGACTTTTTTTTTTTTTTTTGACCAGGCAGTGCATTTTACTGTTTATAAAACTCTAAATATCAATTATATATCTATTTTACTGCTTATAAAAGTAAAGATGAAGTGTGTATAAATATATTTTTTACAGTTTATAAAGTAGTGGTGTAACTGTACGCGTGGGTGTATTGAATAGTTTCGGTAAGTCGTGTTCAGTTCGGTCCACATGCGTACAGTTTTGGTTATTTTTTTCATTAATTAAATATTATTAGCGAGATATTATGCGCTGTGGAACTAAATTCAATTCAAAAATACTTTATTAATCTCAGAGGGAAATTATTTGTTGTAGTAACTCGTTATCCTCATTTCATTAAGAGATGTTATGGATACTGAGGCTGTAGACAGGAAGGATCTCTTGTAAAGGTCCATCCCACAGTGGATCCTAAGAAACTGGCTGCAGATGCCGTCCAATCCGTCCACCCAGACTCGGCTGGCCTCTGTTCCCCCGGCCTGCAGGACTGCCTGAATGCCAGGCAGAACTCCTCTCAGCAGACTGCCGAGCTCCTCGTCACTGTGGAAAGCCAGCTGTAGGTGCTGAGGGACGATCCTGTCCTTCCTCTGTCACGAGCCGTGTTTCCTGTTAGTTCCAGGATCTCAGTGGTCAGGCACTCGAGCACAGCTGGCAGGTAGATGAGAATGCATCCACAAAATATCCTTTTCAACTCACTTGAGATTTGGGGCTGAAGCCGAGATATTATTTGAGCTTTTGAGATGTTAATCAGCTGTTGGTTGTAGAAAACTACCTTGTTGCCATGGTTACAAATCATAACAAATGTCCAAAACTAAAGTTTCAGTAAAAATCCTTCCAGCTGCACAGCATCTGATTCCAGAAGAAACAATCATCCAAAAAATGTGATTTACATCCAGAAAAAGAAGTAAAGTTTCCAAAAGCAAAATGTCAGAATGAAAGTAACAGAGCTGCTCCAACATGCAGCCACCCTGAGCGGTGCAATTCTAGAACGTAAAAGTTAAGTTAAAGTTCCTAAGCGTGTTTCAGCACGGTGCTATTATCTTGTAGCACGTGTAGCATTAGCAGCCTAGCAGGCAACAAACAAGCCATCTCGTTGTGGTCTCCTGTTTGGGAACATTATGGCTTTCTTGTTAAAAAACAAGTGAACAAATCCAAAGCTGTGTCGACATTGTTTCACAGAGATTGGTTCTGCCGCAGGCAACACGTCTAACTTGTTAACGAACTTGAAACATCATCATCAGAATGTGAATGTAGTTTGGTGCAAAGACCAATAACAGCAGCATTTAAACAACCTTTTATCAGGTAATTCAGATCGGTCCAAAGCAATAACACAAGCTGTAGGAGTTTTTAAAGCTCTGGATCTACGGCCAAATGTTGTTGATGCGCCGGCTTTAAGCATAAAGACTTGAGCCCTGCTACGACATCCCATCATCAGTCAGAGTTTCTTTATTGTCATTCGCACCTCATGTGGTACATGTGGTGGAGCGAAATTAGGCATCATGTCAACACTTCAGCCAAGAAGTTGTAGCAGCACTTTATGAAAAAGCTAAAACTGATCTTGTCAACAAGCCCGACCCCAGATTTAAGGCCCTGCCACATCGATGAGCGAGAGAATATTCATCCACCTCATAATGATGGCTGTGCAAGAAGAGGAATTGTATTATTGTGATTCAATTAACTTTTTCAATTTTAAAATGATCATTGTATTAACTCAATTTTTTATTGGTTATTTGTAGTCTGAGAATGATAGCAGCTGTGTCTTCTTCATCCACCTCCAGATCAGAAGTCTGTAATGACTGAACTTGTTTACGTGGCATATTTTCAAAATAAACACTTTGCAAGTCTTTATTTTGGCCTTTTTGTACTGAAAATTAACCGAACCGAGAGCCCTCCTTGAAACTGAAACGAAACAATTAGATTTTAGTGTACCGTTACACCCCTAGTATAAAGCTCTAAATATTTACAATGCCTTGTGAAAGTATTCAGCCCCCTTGAACTTTTCAACCTTTTGCCACATTTCAGGCTTCAAACATAAATAATTTTTTTTTTTTTTTTTTGTAAAGAATCAAGTGGGACACAATCATGAAGTGGAATGAAATTTATTGGATGTGTCAAACTTTTTTAACAAAAAATAAACTGAAAAGTGGGGCGTGCAATATTATTCGGCCCCCTTGTGTTAATACTTTGTAGTGCCGCCTTTTGCTGCAGTTCCAGCTGCAAGTCTCTTGGGGTTTGTCTCTATCAGTTTTGAACATGGAGACACTGAAATTCTTGCCCATTCTTCTTTACAAAACAGCTCGAGCTCAGTGAGGTTGGATGGAGAGTGTTTGTGAACAGCAGTCTTCAGCTCTTTCCACAGATTCTCAATTGGTCTTGATCTAATTTTCTGAGATACTGAATTTAAGGTTTTCATTAGTTGTTGGTGACGATCAACAATAAAAATATTTGAAATATCAGTCTCTGTGTAATGAACAAATATAATATACAAGTTTCAATTTTTGAATGGACAAAATGTATTTTTATAGCTTATAGCAGGGCTATTAAACTGGTGTCCTGTGGGCCACTTCTGGCCTGCTGATGACTTTAGTCCAGTCCACCAATGATTTAATAAAAATAATTACAAAAAAGTAGCTTGCATCTGAACTTTAGGGATGGGGCAGATTCGGGATCGGGTTCCGATACCAGCATAATTTATGAATCGGATTTTTCCGATCCATCCTGCAGAGATTTTTGATCCATGATACACTGTCTGTTGAAACTTCTCCTCCTGTGATTCCCTGCTAGCTGCTCTGCACGTTGGCTTCAAACTATGGACTGGATTTCCTGAACAGACGTGTTTCATGAAACCCAGGGTAAAAAAAACCCGCCTCACATTCAGGAAATCCATTTCATAGTTTACAGCCAGCTAAAATGTGCAGTAGTGCTGTGGCTAAAGCTAACTTTTCATCGAAACATGTCCGCTTTTGTGGAAGTATTTTACACTTGAAACACCACAAAACAAGACTGCAACGTGCAGTATCTCCAGAGCTGCTGTACAGAGAGGAGGAAGCGCCGTCAGGACCTACAATGTGACAAACTTAGTCAAACATGGCACCACATTAAACGGCGGTAAAGTTAGTTTTACGTTGGACCTCCGTGGCTTCAGCGGTGTGTTCTTCTCGTTCAATCGAAGCAGGCAGTCGGAGTTCGGTCATGCGATGTAAAATACTAAAAACGGGAGCATGTTTGTCTGTGCTGGTTTATGCCATGAACTTAGACGTTTAAAGCCATTTAATTTTTATTTTATTTATTTAAAAGAAACAAAATAAACGTTTAATAAACTTCAAGTTGCCTTTTTGGACATGCATGCATATATTTGTACAAATTGTACTTGGTCTTTAGAGAGATTACAGTCTCATATAAAATCAATAAAGGTTGCCATTTTATTTTAACTTGTTAAAATGAAAATTTGTACGCATCTTTTGTCTATTTTTGTCTTTGTTGTCCACTGTTGTCATTCTTTGTAAAAAATTCAGGTCTCTCTTGTAAATGAGCCCCCAAGGCTCAATGGGATTCACATGTATAAATAAAAGTTAAATGGAAAAACACCAAACGTATCGGCCGATATCCAGATTTGGGTATCGAAAACAGATCGGAAGTAAAGAAAACAAAACAAAACAAAACAAAAAAAACGTGGATCAGTGCATCCCTAATGAACTTGAAAGCAGTTGGAAAACATCAGTGTCATTCACAAAGCTGGAAAAGAACAAAAGTTGACATCAAAATTCGTAAATTCAACAGTGAGTCGACAAACGTTTTCTAGTGAAACTGCTGAAGGCAAGCCGATGTGTCTACGAGTGCAGCGCTGTGGCGAAGAATTGCAACCTGCAGAGGCATTTTCCAACCAAACACTGGCTTCGATTAAACAGCCAGACGCAGCTAAGACGTAAGACAGACGCAGTCTTTAACAGGTCCTACTCAAGTCATCAAAGGGCAACCGCAGCTTCTCTCCGTGTGGCGTGGATCCTCGGCCAAAAGCAGTTTTTCATCAATTCAAAGACTGTAAAAAAAAAGTGCATCATAGCTACATTAGATGAAGTGGTCACTGACAATCAAGTAAAAGAGCAAGTGCTGGCAAGTGAAAGTCCATACCTGTGTCAGACACACAAACTGGAAGAATGAGCCGTTCCAGCCTCAGAAGTTTATGAA